CTTATTCTTGCAATTGTTTCCTGGATATAACCTTGAGGTGACACACAGGAGCCTAAAGCATAGCGGAGCCAAAATCCCTGCAGGTGCTTTACACCCCACCGCCCTTGCCGGATCTGTTCTTCTTCCTGGATCCTTAATATCATTTGCTGGCATCACCATCTAACCAGTTGCCCAAGCTAAAAACTTGGAAATCATTTGATTTATATATTGAAAAATATATAAAATAGTTATATAAATATATATGTGACATATAAATTTTCATTCTAGGAAACTTCAAACATATATAAGAGTAGAACGGATGGTCTCAACGCCCAAGCTTATTATGACTATCTGGCTAATCTTGCTTCATCGGGGATCCCCACTGCTTCCCCTTCCCAGATTCTTCTAATGGACCCATAAGCCTCCTATCGTTTCATCAGTGAGGAGTTAGTAGGCATCTCTAAAAGCTGAGGTCTTGGGGTCTCTCTGACTGCTCTCTCCCTTACTGCTGACATTCATTGCTGACAATTTATCCCAAAGGCTCCCCTCAGACTTCAAGACACACTGGCCACTGGCCACAGGCCTGCTGCCTGCACTTTCATATCTTCCTCTGCCCTCACTCCCTGCACTGCAGCCACCACAGGACCTGCAGTTCCCCGGAGATCCCATCGGCTGCACGTGTTACCCCTGCTGCCCGCCGTCCCTTCACCACCTCCTCTCCCAGCTAGTTTGTATCCTGATGCTTGTCATCTTGACTGTGGTGCCTCTGACACCCCCCACGCATGGACTCTCTTCCCTCCCAGGCTGGGAGCTCTCTGAGGCAGGAATCATGTCTGACTTCTGAATCACTGAAATGTCATACAGTGTCTGGGACGAGGTAGATCTCATTTATTTGTAGGGCGAATGAACCAATTAAGGACATGTCAGGGAAATAAATGAAAGGTTAAACTGCAGAAGAGAGGGCAGGTGAAGACCTGGGGAGAGGCAAGGGACACATAGGGATTGAAAAATCCAGAGCCTAAAGTTTGGGAGGCTAGGGAACAGTAACAGCAAGGACAACAATGGGAGAAACTTGAAAAGCAGGCTTGCTTTCCAGAGGTGATAAGGAAAGCAGCAATTTCGTTCGTGTTAACGTCATGTATTGGTGGACTAGCCAACAGCACAGTGACTTAGGAATGGAAAAAGGAAGGGAAACAGCCATAGCATAGGGAGGAGAGCATGAGTATACAGAAGGGCTGTCAAAAGTAAATGACAGCATCACGGAATGAAAGGGAAAGGGACCCAAAGAGCCCTGTGAGTGCTTATCTGTGAGCATGTGCACACTGGACATTTCTTTTTTATATATATATATTTTTATTGATTTCAGAGAGGAAGGGAGAAAGGGAGAGATAGAAACATCGATGAGAATCATGGATTAGCTGCCTCCTGCACGCCCCACACTAGGGATCAAGCCCGCAACCTGGGCATGTGCCCTGAACTGTGACCTCCTAGTTCAGCGGTTCTCAACCTGTGGGTCGAGACCCCGTTGGGGTTGAACAACCCTTTCACAGGGGTCGCCTAAGACCATCCTGCATATCAGATATTTACATTATGATTCATAACAGTAGCAAAATTACAGTTATGAAGTAGCAATAAAAATAATTTTATGGTTGGGTCACAACATGAGGAACTGTATTTAAAGGGCCAGAAGGTTGAGAACCACTGTCCTAGTTCATAGGTCAATGCTCAACCACTGACCCATACCGGCCAGGCCAGGCATTCCTTATTGGTCCATACAGGGACTGGGTGGTTCTTATTGATCTATACAGGGACTGGGTGGTTCTTATTGGTCCACACAGGGACTGGGTGGTTCTTATTGGTCTATACAGGGACTGGGTGGTTCTTATTGGTCTATACAGGGACTGGGTGGTTCTTATTGGTCTATACAGGGACTGGGTGGTTCTTATTGGTCTATACAGGGACCGGGTGGCCATGTGTGTGAGAACACTAGAATTAAATGAGTTAATACATTAAATGAGTTAATATGTAGAACAGTGGTTGGCACATAAAAAGCACTCAGGTCTTGGTGGGTCATCATATTATTTGGCCTTTGGTAATAAGGGTCTTTTTCAACTCTTACCCTCCGACCAGAAGATCCCAGGGCTTTCTTTGCCCAGGATCCCGGGGAAGCTGTGAAGACGCCTATCCTCCCTGGTAAGAGATCAGAAGAGATTTCGCTCTAGGATTCCTGTGTGAGTGGCGGCAGCTGAAGTCCTGAGCCAGCTGCCCAGTCGCGAAGAAATGCTAGGAGGACCAGGAACCTGGGGTGAGCCCAGAGGCGCTCGCGGCTGGGAGAGTAGGACGAGCAAACAGGAAAACAAGCACCCCGGGCAGAGCTCTGAGAAGAGGCCATGGAGCAAGGAGGTCATGGACGGTGGGGGCACAGAGAGGCTGCCACAAGGGCCTCATTAATAGGGTCACAGCAACAGGTCGAAGGATGAGCTCTGAGCCAGCCCTGGGGTCCAACCAGGAGAAGATGAGGTGATGAAGTAAAGTGAGTGATGAAGCGAAGCGTCAGTGGTTGAGGGAAGGTGTGACACGAGCAGCAATGGCTTTAGATAATTCCTTTGAAAAGGTGACAGGCTGAAGGGTGGTGGGGACTTTAATGTGTTTCCTGACCGGTGAGCGAGGATGTGTGAAGGCAGGAGGAATCCGTGGAGAGGGTGGTTGGCTGAGAGGGAGGAGGTGGAGAAGGGAAGGAACAGGATTCCCTTCCCAGGCAGAGGGCTAACCACACACTCAGACTGCCAGTAAGGATCACAGGTAAGTGCAAGTGGTGCTCAGGAACCTTCTATGAATACACAGACTCTCTTGTGCTGTAGACAATCCCCCTGAACCCCACTCTCTCCTCCTCTCTAGTGGAGAGCTCAGAGGAATCCGATCTAAAGGAACCCAGGGCCCCATCCCTTCCGCGTCCTCCTGCCAATGGGAAGAAATAGAAACCTGTCTTGCTCTACAGCTGCACCGCCCAATAAGGTAGCCACTAGCCACACGGCTATTTGAATTTAATTATAATAAAGTTGTTCTTCAGTCCCATTAGCCACATTTCAAATGTTTAATAGCCTCCTGGGGCCAGTGGCCACGGAGCTCAGCACAGAGAACATGCCATCACTGCTCCAGAGTCTTCCAGGCATTTCCCCTCCCTTCTACCTTATCCTGTTCAGCTCCCTGTGCGCCAGAAGAGTCCCTCTCCAGCCCTCACACGGAATCACTGGATCTTGGTGGAAAGACCTCAGTGGGGCTCCAGGGAAGAGCCTTCCTGATGGTCTAGGACAGTGATGGCGAACCTTTTGAGCTCGGTGTGTCAGCATTTTAAAAAACCCTAACTTAACTCTGGTGCCGTGTCACATATAGAAATTTTTTTATATTTGCAATCATAGTAAAACAAAGATTTATATCTTTGATATTTATTTTATATATTTAAATGCCATTTAACAAAGAAAAATCAACCAAAAAAATGAGTTCGCGTGTCACCTCTGACACGCATGTCATAGGTTCACCATCACTGGTCTAGGACTAACTTGCTCAACGTTCTATTAACCGGACATACTTCCTTCTGCCTCCTAGGACACACAGACGTGTGTCTTCTGTTGTCTCCTCAGGCTACTCAATCCCCACAGAGGGGGTGACACCCCGCAGAGCTCAGACACTAGCCGAGTCCTGCTGGCGGCCCTCCATGCTGACGACAGGCTCCACCAGCCCCATGTCCAGGGTCTGCATGCTCCGACTTCGTCCTCTCTCCACTACCCCACCTCCAGTCTCCTCTGCCCAGGACAACCTGGTCTTTCGTGCTCCCTAACGACAGCCAAGCAGTTGCCAGGGGAGCCTGTCAGGCATGCTGGGCCACAGCCCTGGGTAGTGGGAGCAGAGATGACAAAGCTGGAAAGGACCCTGACCCTCCCCTAAGTCAACCCCTCACCTGACAGATGTGACTGTGGGCTACCGTGTTACCTAAGTGACAGGGAGCAGTCCTGGGGTGGGAGTTAAAGGGCACACACACCATCTCCAAGACACACGAGTGTCCAAGACAAAGCCTGGGTTCCCATGGGCTGCTCCCGAACTGCCCACCCTGGCCGATGCCTCATGCCCGTTCCAAGGTCCCTTTTAGGAAACATGCAGAGAACGGCACCCATGGACCTCCTTCCACCTAGAGGGAACCAGGCACCCACTGACAAGGTCAGGGAGACTGGACTCCTCCCAGGGACACCTCCTCCGCGGGCTGCTGCCTGACCCTCCTTTCGGAGCTCCCCTCGGCCGCTCATCCTCTCGTAGTTGCTCTGGGTGGATCACTTCCTGTGAGTTCGGGGTTCGAGTTTGGGCACAGCACATGACATGCTCCAATCTCCACAGAAAATAGCCAATATCTGTCAAATTCCTCAAGGGACAAGGACGTCCCCGAGGAGCTGGAGCTGGAGGCGTCCCGTGGGAACTCTGGAAAGGGCAGACACTCTCTCCTGGGAGGCGCCCAGCCTGTGCTCCACACCAACCACTGACTGACAGCCCTGGGGATGGTGAGACGGAGGCGGGTCAGAGGGCAACCACAGCTCAGGGAGACCGTTCTCCTGTCACCCCCAGCAGGCCCGGCGGCTCGCTCTGATTAGCCAGGGTTGAGAATCAAAGAAATCTCAACTCCTTCACTTCATCCCAAGGCCACTGGGATGACGAGAGCTGCCTGGCAAGTTCTCAGCTTGGAACGCAAAGGAACATCTTTCAACTCGTGCCTCATCTCCAGGCCCAACCCCACTCCCCTCAGCCTTTCCCATCAGCCGCTCAGCGGCTCCTTTTCTCTCCCAGCGACTCAGGAAGAAGGCCTTGCTGAGGCCGCGGGCAGCCACTCAGAAGCAGCAACATGCCCTAAAATGGCCATGGACACTCCACAGGTTTGGCTGAAGCTCAGCTCCTGAAGGAAGGGGTAGAGCCCAGGGAGGGTGAGTTCCCCATCGCCCTGCCCCAGGATTAACCCCCTTCTGTGGACTACTCACCATTCCACAGCACCTCCAGGGAGTGGGGGGACAGCGGGATAGCCTTGTTCTCTTTTAACACAGGGCTGACGTAGGAAGCTAAGTAGGGGACAGATGTCCAGATCTGTTAAAGGAGAAGGCGGGACGGTGGATGAACAAACAAGACTGGACTCTCTCTCATCCATTGATCTTCAGGGCCCAGCTCTCTCTCTCTTTCCTGTCCTCATCACCTTCTTTCATTCCTGAGGCTCCTGCGACACCAGGGAGTGCTCCCTATGGCACCGAATCCAGAGCCGGAGGAAAGGCGTGTCCAGGTGGAAGATGAGAACCAGAGCACTGCGTCCCAAGGTGTACCCAGGTCCCAGCACTCCCTACAAATGCTCTGGAAACTTCAATGAACATGCTGAGCCTGCTTCCTCATTTGTAAAATGGGTGTCAGCTGGGATGAAGGTACATGAATGAATGAACATTTATTCAGCACTTACAACGTGCCAGGCAATGGTGTCCAGGGTGGCGAACATCCGGCCTGCGGGCCATATAAGGCCCATGAAATCATAAGGCATTAGGGGTGAGGTAATTAAATATTTGATCAAATATAGTAGAATAATTTTTTAATATATATATGTTTTTATTTCAGAGAGGAAGGGAGAGAGAGAGATAGAAACATCAATGATGAGAGAGAATCATTGATCAGCTGCCTCCTGCACGCCTCCCACCGGGTAAGCCCACAATAACACAGGGCTGACGTAGGAAGCTAAGTAGGGGACAGATGTCCAGATCTGTTAAAGGAGAAGGCGGGACGGTGGATGAACAAACAAGACTGGACTCTCTCTCATCCATTGATCTTCAGGGCCCAGCTCTCTCTCTCTTTCCTGTCCTCATCACCTTCTTTCATTCCTGAGGCTCCTGCGACACCAGGGAGTGCTCCCTATGGCACCGAATCCAGAGCCGGAGGAAAGGCGTGTCCAGGTGGAAGATGAGAACCAGAGCACTGCGTCCCAAGGTGTACCCAGGTCCCAGCACTCCCTACAAATGCTCTGGAAACTTCAATGAACATGCTGAGCCTGCTTCCTCATTTGTAAAATGGGTGTCAGCTGGGATGAAGGTACATGAATGAATGAACATTTATTCAGCACTTACAACGTGCCAGGCAATGGTGTCCAGGGTGGCGAACATCCGGCCTGCGGGCCATATAAGGCCCATGAAATCATAAGGCATTAGGGGTGAGGTAATTAAATATTTGATCAAATATAGTAGAATAATTTTTTAATATATATATGTTTTTATTTCAGAGAGGAAGGGAGAGAGAGAGATAGAAACATCAATGATGAGAGAGAATCATTGATCAGCTGCCTCCTGCACGCCTCCCACCGGGTATCAAGCCCACAACCCAGGCATGTGCTCTTGACCGGAATGGAACCTGGGACCCTTTAGCCCGCAGGCCAACGCTCTATCCACTGAGCCAAAGCGGCTAGGGCAGCAGGCTAATTTTAAGTTGATAATTTTGTATGGCCCATGAATGATGTTATAAATATCCACATGGCCCTTGGCAGAAAAAAGGTTCCCCACCCCTGGTTAGGCAGTCAGCCCCTCCCTTGGTCATTCCATGTGGCTCCCTGCCCTGCCAACACCTGTTCACCTTGGCTGCGTTAACGAGTCTCCAAGCCTTGAGCAGGCCGAATCCGTGCTGGTGGCTATGGCTGAAGCCCGCCTCGTTGGTGACCCAGTCTGCACGGCGATCCTCGTACTGAGGACAGAGGTCCCGATTAGTCTCCTGGATTTCCAAAGGGGTCTCAACACCCAGCTCTGGCCTCCCCGCTCACCCTGCTGCTGCTCCAATCCAGACTCTCCCACTAAAGCCACTGGTTATGGGTCCCCAAGGAAAGCTGCCCCATGATGTCACCACCCCAACGGCCTGCTTCCAGAGAGGGAGCCAGGAGTCAGGCTCCAGTGAGGAAGCCCAGCCAGAGCTCTGCTCTGCAGGTAAAATGGCGTCATCAGAAATTGGTACCAAGGAGTTGAGGTCTCTGGTGACGGACTCCCCACCCCTGTTCTATACACATGCGACTCTGAAAGGGATTTGGCATCTAACACCTGGAACCTGGAGCCAGAACTTGGGGGTCTGCTGGTGGCATCTCACCTGGGTGGCTGTGAAGACAATGATGTGCTGGACATCACGCCAGGTAAGGCAGGGCCGCACCTGCAGCATGAGGGCTATCATGCCGGCTGCCAGAGGGGCTGCGGCTGAGGTGCCTGTGTGGCCCTCAGTGCAGCCTGTGCCCTTCTGAAGGTCCCAGTCAGTGGTCACCTGGGCAGTGGGACAGGAGGGCACTGGGTTAGACTGCGCTCACAGCACTGTGGATGGCAGGGTACAGCCTGGCCCATCCTTTGGGAGAGCTGAGTCTTTGACCAGCGGGAGGCTGCTAGCAGGTCCAGGCGAAGGAGACCTCAGTGCTCTGGGCCTCACAAGGACTCTCAGGAGAGCGAAGAAGGGCAAATCCAATTGAGAAAGGACTTAGCGGGGCTGGTTGTAAGGAAGGAAGTGGAGGCATGCGAGGCCTATGTGCCGGGGACAGTGTGCTGACTCCTGCTGCTCCAACGATCCAATCCCAAATTCCGCATCCCAGCCCCCACTCCCAAGCCTCCAGACCCCACAGCCATGCCAGACAGAGGAAGTGGGCAGGAGCTCCTGGGCCCGGCTGGAGCTGGGACAACAGTGACGGCACCATTCAAGGAAATCCAACTTGGCGGCTTGGCGATAGGAGCTGCAGTGACATCAGTGCGAACAAAGCGAGTGTGTTCCCAGGGAAAGAGGTCACCCCCTGCCCACCCACAGGCTTGGGGTGGAGCCCGTGTCGACACTGCCTGCCTGGCTGGTGGAAATTGACAGGACAAGCTGCCTCGCTACTCTGGGCCTGGTGCCTCAGGACGGCTTTTAGGAGCCCCTTCTCTCCCTTTGGTGCGAGCGGGAGGTGGGAGAGGGCGTGGGGAGGGGAGAGCTGCCTGTGGGGGAGAGAGGGCATCTGTCTGGCTCAAGCTCTTTCTCTGCTGTAATGGATCCTGGAACCACACAGGGGTGAGCTGAGGAGGCCCTGAGAATCTCCGAGCTGTGGCACGTTGGGTCTAGCACACTGTCAAGACCAGAGAATTTTCTTCTTCCAACCCTCTCTTCTGGGTCAGATACCAGGGTCCTAGCTTCTGCTAAGAGCTGCCCTTTCTCCACTGTACTCACTGCTTCCCTCCCAGCAATTAGAGCAGCTGCCAGGAGGTGTAATTTTCACCCAGACGCCGCGCACTCCCAGAAGGAAAGGAAGAAACTCCCAAGTTGTCCTCAATGAGTGGGAGGCCTGCTCTGCGCCAAGGAGCAGACGGATTGTTTCCTGTTAAGGAAACAGCCTCACAGTCCAGTGTGTGGCTGAGGTCTGGGAACTTGCCGCGGTGGCAGGAGGCCCAGCAGCCAGAGCGGAGTCCAGGGAAGTGCCCCGGGCAGCCAAGTGGTGGTGGCATGTGCCTCCACAGCCTGCCCTCAAGGAAGACAGCTCCGCCAAGCTGCTCACTGACCAGGCACTGGCAACGGGCGCCTTCCAAGGCAAAGACATCCCAAAGATGGAAACTCGGCGAAACACCCTCTCTTCACTTCTGGACAAGTTACAGTTCTGATGGAAGGTGGAGGGCGGGTAAGAAGTGGAGCTGAGTTAGGAGGACCCAAGTCCTACCCCTCAGAACAGACTGATGATGATGCCTGGGAGCTCTACTGGTTGCGGGGAGTGGAGGTGGGGGGTGGGATGAGCGGTTCTGGAGAGTTCTGCCAGGGCACCAAGAGCACAGTATGTTCCTGCTCTTGTTCCGAGCCCAGTCTGGCCTGGTGGGGGGAAGCCGCGCACCCAGACCCCCGCCTGCTGAGCAAAGCCTCTCTTGCTCTTTTACTTTAGTCCACTCCCTCTTCTCTTCTCCCCAGGGCACAAAGGGGGGGTCAACTGACCCAGAGCCTTGGAACATTGTGTTAACCAGAATCATTTACTGGCAAAACAAAACTTCAGTTTTGGAAAGGGAATCTGGCGCAGCAGGAGACCTCCCACCGGGCCAGGGAAATCTGATACCCTGGCTGCAGCCCAGCTCAGGCCAGGCAGGCCCTTCCCCTTTATTCCCTCTGTTCCCTCCTGGGCAGCAAGGCCGCAGGGAGCTCTGGGAAGACTTGGCATAAGACCTGGGATGAAGCTGGGCCAGCCAGGTACAGGCACTAGGCCCTGAACCCTGTAAAGGCGCCCAGAGCTCCAGGCTCCACTCTCGTTCTCTCCAAGCTTGCGTTGCTATGGCCCCAGTTCCAGGCCGAGGGAAGAGCTCTCTCTTGGGCCCACAGAGACAGTCCCTGACTCCTTATCCTGCGGGTCCCAGAAACACAACCACTACTTACTCCGGGGAATGAAGGTGCCCAGGAGCAAGTAAACACCAGAACGAACAGTGTTTACATAAAGGCTGGAAAACAACGAACGATTTTTTAAGCCTGCAAAAATTAGCCAAAGCCCAAATTCTACCAAAGAAAGGCACTTCAAAGAAGTTCTGTCGTCAATGTGACAGTCCTCTCAGAGTATGTAAACTTAACTTGTAAGTTAAAATTTTAGAGATAAAAACCATTTTCCCAGATTATCCGAGCCTCAGCTCTGCCCTCCAGCAATGGCCCCTCAGTCTCAGGTCTGCGAGGGAAGCGGCTGAGCACAGGATGGGGGGGCGGGGCTATGGGACAGGGGCCGCGGGGGCACATACAATGCTCCTGAGCATCTTGTCCCCGCCGCTGAAGGTGACCGCCAGCATGGACGCGCACTCCTCTGCGTAGAATGGCATCCGTCCGTCCTCATCCACAGCACCTGGGGGCAGGGCAGGGATGGGGGCTGAGACAAAAGCCTGGTCATAGTAGAGTTACCTTTGAGTTACCAGTTGGAGGTGGTCCTGAGTTTGAAAAATGATTCAGTGGCCCAAGGGCCTCAGAGTGCCACACTCCTCACCTGAACAGGCCCGTGAAGTGGCAGAGGGTGTTTTGTGCCCTAAATACCGTTCTCCCAGTAGGCTCGCCCCAGGGCACCACCGGGGACATCCCCTCTGTAGCTCCTCATGCACTCACACTCATTCTCCTCAGCCTTCAGTGTCAACGGTGAGTCACACACACGTGAGGGTTTCGGGCCACGCGGAAAAGGACAGTCTGATCTCAAGAAGCCTAAAGTCAGGGCGTAAGCCGGGTAAGAACAAAGTACCACTGGGCGGGCAACGCTGTGGTGGGAGCACAGGTTGAGGCAGGAGGCGGTGGGCCATGGGAAGACGGCAGAACAGAAGCCTAACTAGCTGTGGTGGGTGCAGGCAGCAGGTTGCCTCCGATGCTGGGCTGAGAGCGTTGTCAGGGCATGGCGACTTCCAAAGAAGCGCGAGAGCAGGTTGAGACCCTCTTCACTCTCTGATCCACAGGGAACGTCCTGCTCACACTCAGACACACAGAAGATGGGGCTTCCCAAGATACATTCTCCTCACCAGTGATTCACACACTCACACACCAGGATAAAGTACTCACCACAGAGTGACACACACACCAGGATACAGTCCCCTCACCACAGACTGACACACACACCAGGATATAGTCCCCTCACCACAGACTGACACACACACCAGGATACAGTCCCCCCCTTCACCACAGACACACACACCAGGATATAGTCCCCTCACCACAGACTGACACACACACCAGGATACAGTCCCCTCACCACAGACTGACACACACACCAGGATATAGTCCCCTCACCACCGACTGACACACACACCAGGACACAGTCCCCTTACCACAGACTGACACACACACCAGGATATAGTCCCCTCACCACAGACTGACACACACACCAGGATACAGTCCCCTCACCACAGAGTGACACACACACCAGGATACAGTCCCTTCACCACAGATTGACACACAACCCAGGATACAGTCCCCTCACCACAGAGTGACACACACACCAGGATACAGTCCCTTCACCACAGATTGACACACAACCCAGGATACAGTCCCCTCACCACAGAGTGACACACACACCAGGATACAGTCCCTTCACCACAGATTGACACACAACCCAGGATACAGTCCCCTCACCACAGAGTGACACACACACCAGGATACAGTCCCTTCACCACAGATTGACACACAACCCAGGATACAGTCCCCTCACCACAGAGTGACACACACACCAGGATACAGTCCCTTCACCACAGATTGACACACAACCCAGGATACAGTCCCCTCACCACAGAGTGACACACACACCAGGATACAGTCCCTTCACCACAGATTGACACACAACCCAGGATACAGTCCCCTCACCACAGAGTGACACACACACCAGGATACAGTCCCTTCACCACAGATTGACACACAACCCAGGATACAGTCCCCTCACCACAGAGTGACACACACACCAGGATACAGTCCCTTCACCACAGATTGACACACAACCCAGGATACAGTCCCCTCACCACAGAGTGACACACACACCAGGATACAGTCCCTTCACCACAGATTGACACACAACCCAGGATACAGTCCCCTCACCACAGAGTGACACACACACCAGGATACAGTCCCTTCACCACAGATTGACACACAACCCAGGATACAGTCCCCTCACCACAGAGTGACACACACACCAGGATACAGTCCCTTCACCACAGATTGACACACAACCCAGGATACAGTCCCCTCACCACAGAGTGACACACACACCAGGATACAGTCCCTTCACCACAGATTGACACACAACCCAGGATACAGTCCCCTCACCACAGAGTGACACACACACCAGGATACAGTCCCTTCACCACAGATTGACACACAACCCAGGATACAGTCCCCTCACCACAGAGTGACACACACACCAGGATACAGTCCCTTCACCACAGATTGACACACAACCCAGGATACAGTCCCCTCACCACAGAGTGACACACACACCAGGATACAGTCCCTTCACCACAGATTGACACACAACCCAGGATACAGTCCCCTCACCACAGAGTGACACACACACCAGGATACAGTCCTCACCACAGAGTGACACACACACACACCAGGATACAGTCCCCTCACCACAGACACACACACACCAGGATACAGTCCCCTCACCACAGACACACACACACCAGGATACAGTCCCCTCACCACAGACACACACACACCAGGATACAGTCCCCTCACCACAGACACACACACACCAGGATACAGTCCCCTCACCACAGACACACACAC